GGAGATCATTGAGCTTCCTGGATCTGAATATCTGTGATTTTTCCTATACCTGGGAAGTTTTCTGCCACTATTTTGTTGAATATGTTTTCGGTGCAATCTCCTTTTTCCTCCCCTTCTGGAATACCCATGACTCGGATATTTGAGCGCTTAAGGTTGTCTGATATCTCTCTCAGGTTTTCTTCAATGCCTTTGATTCTTTTTTCTTTTTTGTCTGCTTGTATTATTTCAAACAGCCCATCTTTAAGTTCAGAGGTTCTCTCTTCAACTTCCACAAGCCTGCTGGTTAAACTCTCTGTTGTGTTTTTTATTTCACTGAATAACTTCTTCTGTTCGGCAAGTTCTGCTACATTTTTTTTCAGGACATTGATTTCCTTGTACATTTCCTCTTTCAGGTCCTGTATACTTTTCCTCATTTCATCATGATGTCTAGCTGAGTTTCTTGTATGTCATTCAGTTTCTTTAGAATTATCACTCAAAATTCCTTGTCAGTCATTTCAAGGGCTTCTTGTTTATAGGATCTAGAGCTTTAGAGTTATTATCCTTTGGTGGTGTACTTTTTTGATTTTTCATATATCTGGTATCTTTTTTTTGATTTATTTATTCATTGTAGGAGGGGGTTTCACAGTCCACAGGTTTGACATTATTGACTGACTAATATGTTGCTGTGGTTGCCAATTTGGTATGGCTACCTTGGTGACTGCTCAGTTGGCCACTAGTGCCTTGCGTGTGTGGTTGCCTTGGGTCTTGGGGCTCACCGGGGAGCCACCTCTCTGGTTGTCTTGTGGCTCACCGGGGAGCCACCTCTCTGGTTGTCTTGGAGTCCGCTGGGCTGCTGGGTCTTGGGGCAGTATCACAGGGTGTGTGGTCTCTGCTGTTCTTCCACCTCCTGTGCTGGACGTCTCCATGCTCCGTGCGTGTTGGGCTGGGCTGGATGAAGCCAGGTGGTGGTGAAGCCTACCTGCTGCTGGATTGCGTGGCAGCAGCCCCCCCACAGGGTGTGTGGTCTCTGCGGAGCTTCTGCCTCCCCCGCTGGACGTCTCCCTGCTCTGTCCCCACTGGGCCGTGTTGTTGGATCGCGCTGTGGCGGTGTGGTCCCTGCGGATTTCCCGCCTGCTCTGCGGATGTCACCCTTCTCCATGTGCACTAGGCCGGGCTGGGAATGGAGCCGGGTGCCTGCGGTGAAGCCTACCTGCTGGATCATGCAGTGGCGGCCCCACAGGGGGTGTGGTATCTGTGGAGCCTCCGCCTCCCCTGCCGTACGTCTCCCTACTCTGTGCTGCACACTGTGCTGGGCTGGGAATGGAGCCGGGTGGCGGCGGTGAAGCCTATGCTGGATCATGCGACAGCTGCCCTGTAGGGCTTGTGGTCTCCGCAGAGCTTCTGCCTCCCACGCTGGACGTCTCCCCATTCCGTATGCACTTGATATTATGTTTTTATAGTTGTAAATCAGTTGATTTGTGGGAGAGAGTGATGCTAGGGACCATCTATTCTGCCATCTTGACTGGAAGTCCCAGATCTTGCTTTCTAAATACCATTCTTCCAGGAGAGAGGCATCTTGTTCGGCAGCAAGAATACAGTCCTTCAAGACAACCTGATTAAAAACTGGGCAAAGCATTTTAATAGACATTCCCATCGTGCTGCTGTTGACGCTCCTCTCCTCAGGCCAAAGATCACGTTCTAACTAAAATTATAATATTCCAAAATTGGATTAGGACATGAGCCCGTGTGTGTATGTATCTAATGTCTAGCACTTTTTACAGTCTGTGTCAGGATGGCAGGTCACTGCAATAACTTCGCTCTTGCTCCTGACATGGGGCTTTCCTGGCATACCACTCTAACATGTTGCATTTGTGCTTCCAACTTCGTTGGCCTGTTTTTCCTGCAGACTACTACATACTATGTTTTTTGCTTGCTTTATTTATGTTATATCTTATTAATTTTTTATTTATTTTTATTGAATCAGAATTGATTATACGTATTTTGGGGGTTCAATGTTGAGATATGTTGATGAAATCAGTATTTCTGGCATATGTATTGTTACAAATCATACTTATTCTTTATGCCCCTTGTCCAATCTCACCCCATCCCCCTCACCTACTCCCCTCCCTCCTCTGATAACTCTAGATTTCTTTTCTCCTTCTGAAAGAATGATGGTTACTCTGTTAATTTGTTGCCTAGATGATCTGTCCAATGCTGAGAGGTGTGATCAGGTCTCCCAGTATAATCATAGAGTACATGCTTCTTCTGTCGCTCTGGAATGGGCTTTGTAGAAAGACATCCTCTTCTTTTCTTTTTTTTTTTTTCCTTTTTTTTTTGTGTTTTTTCCTGACCAGTAACGGGATTGCAACCCTCGGTGTCGCGCCTGGTTACCGTGACCGGCAATGGGATCGCAACCCTCGGTGTCGCGCCCGCACCGCGTTCAGCCAGTGAGCGGACCAGTCTCTATATGGGATCCGAACCCTCAGCGGGAGCACCGCCGCACTCCCAAGCGCCGCACTCAACCGAGTGCGCCACCGGGCCGGCCCTTCTTTACTTATTTCTGCTGATGACTTTCCTTGTGTCAGTGTACTCCAGTGGCTGGTAGACCGTCTGCTTGGTGGTTGTGGCATGTAGCCACTTTGCAGCAGTCATGGTTATTGTGGTGGCTGTGGTGGGCCACCCACATGGATGCTGTTGGCATGCTCCTTGGTACTGGTGGTGTGCCTGGTTGTGGGGGGGTCTGGTCCCCAGCTCTATCCCTCTGATCCTTGGGCAGGCCCTGAGGTGCTGTCACAATGTGCCTGGTTGTGGGATGGGGATCTGGTCCCTAGCTGCATGCCTTGTGTCTGTTGGCAGACTCAAGGCAGTGGTGGTGTGTCTGAGCCGGAACTAATTTTTTTGTCTGTTGTTTTCTTCTAAAGTGGGGGAACTTCCTGTTGAGATCAACACCTGAGCTCTGTGGTTTAGCTAAATTGCTGCTTTGCTGCTGCTTCCCTAGGGAAGGCTTTTTGTGCAGTACAGGTTATAATGGTTGACTTTATAGGTATTTCCAGCTCTCCAGAGACTCAGTGCACCTGGGTTGTGTAGTAACTCTGATTTGCACCTGAGTCTTTTTACCAAACTGCACCCCATGCAATTCTATATTCCTGACCAGTCTCCTCTGAGTGGTCCTGTGCTGATTGGAGTGCAGATCAGCTGTCCTTGCTGTGTTCCAGTGTTCTCCTGGTGGGCCCGTCTTCCCCACTGCCCCCTCTCCAAACACTCCCATGGGATGGGCCATGTACTAGTCCCTTGTGATGACTCACTGGCCTCTGAGTGGCTCCATTTTTTCAGTTGTGGCTCCTTGCTCCTATGTGGGTCCACGGGAACCCTATTAGTGGTCTTGCTATCCTGGGTACCAACAAGGCCCTCTTCTCCCTGCCACCTCCAAGCATTTTACAGGGAGCCATGCTACATAAATCCATAGATTCTGTGATTGACATGACTAGTCAGTCCTACATCAGGGACATCCCATTAAAAGCATTTCATAGATAAGGACTCTTTTCCTAGGAAACAACCATCATTTTATTTACGAGGAGGTCAATTAGATTAATAGTACAATTCCAAGGAAGTTAGACATGGTCACCTGCCTTTTTTGTGTCCCTCTTTGTCTTCCCCTTCCCTGCCCCACTCACACACTTTTGGAGAGAAATGGGATTTTGCTTAACTCCTTTCTTCCCGTGAGGGAACTGAAAAATTCCACAATCCTAGTTTCCGGGGGTGGTTATTGTTAGTATCTTGGTGTATTTCCTTTTAAAACCACTATCTATGGGTATATGTTTCCATACATGTTTTTTTTTTGTCCTTTTTGTCCTTTTTCGCGCCCGGCAATGGATCGCAACCCTCAGTGTCGCCCCCGTACCGGACCGGGACCGGCAAGGGGACCGCAACCCTCGGTGTTGCGCCCGCACCTTGCTCAGCCAGTGAGCGGGAACCGGTCTGTATGTTGGATCCGACCCCTCCGCGGGAGCGCCACCGCGCTCCCAAGCGGCGCACTGTAGCAGTGCGCCACCGGGCCGGCCCTCCATACATGTTTTAAAATAATAGGCCTGTACTACACAGGATCCATAAAGTACTAAGTTAGGATTTTGGGGGCTTTTTTTTTTTTATTTGTTTTTTTAAGAAGATGACTGGTAAGGGGATCTTAACCCTTGACTTGGTGTTGTTAGCACCATGCTCTCCCAAGTGAGCTAACTGGCCATCCCTATATAGGGATCTGAACCCATTGCCTTGGAGTTATCAGCACCATACTCTCCCAAGTGAGCCACAGGCCGGCCCTTAAGTTAGGATTTTTGAATACCATCACTTTAAAGCACTGTTTCATGGGTGATTATTCTGTAGGAAATGTTTGAGTATGTCATCTGCACCTGCTCCTCAGGACTTACAGTAGCAGATTTGATATGAACAGGAGTAACATTAACCTTTGCTGATTACCTTTCAGGAAACCATCTAGTAGAGCTAATATTTTATAAAAAAGGATGCTTCTCTAAATTTGATAATTCAGTAATCCACCTGAAATAGGGTCTTAGGTAGATTTACCTTAAAATGAGTTTTGTTCTGTTTTAATATATATATTATATAATATCATTGTTCTGTTTTAATATATATTATATAATACTGTTGTAGCATATATATAATAAGGAATTAACCCATTGTTAAATGTGTGTATTTGTGTTGTGTCCATACTTTCTTACTTATGGCAGAATTGCTTGGATATAATCTAAATTGAAGCAAAATCAATCTGAGACATTGATTTGAGTTTATGTAGATAATACTAGCCAAGTTGCATTTGAAAACATTACTGATTTTATTGAGAATAGATTAAGAGCCTCATATTTCTTGAATTGTAAACTAAGTTACTGATGAGATATATGAAGTATATGATTTTTGTTTGTTTTGCACAGTACACAATAAATAATCATATGGAATCAGACTATATTTGACTTTGTGGTGTGAACTTTGATTGTTGTCATACCCCACAGGGGCCTGGAAGAATTCTGTGGAAGAGTGGACAACAGAAGACTGGACTGAAGATGTAAGTGTTTGGCATCAGATCAGATTCATCTTTCTTTGGTGTCTGGTAGGGACATCTGTGATTGGAAGAAAGACTGAGACATCTTATCTCATCTTGGTTCCTTTTCTGGCATTTATCCTATCCGTGTTCTTAGATAGTTAGCTTTTTTTTTTAGCAAAAGCTTCTCAGAAGGAAGTTAGTGTTTTCAGATTTTTAAGGAACTTGGTTATAAAAGCATCTGCTTAAAAATGACCAGGTGTTGGGGCCAGCCCATGGCTCACTTGGGAGTGTGTGGTGCTGATAACACCAAGGCCAAGGGTTTGGATTCTTATATAGGGATGGCTGGTTCGCTCACTTGGGAGGGCATGGTGCTGACAACACCAAGTCAAGGGTTAAGATCCCCTTACCGGTCATCTTTAAAAAAAAAAAAAAAAAAGACCAAGTGTTAAGTAGGACTGAATTTTTTTTTAGCTTGTCTCTGTTTTGTTCAACCTGATAGCCAGTTTACTCTGTTGCTCTGATTTGTGGACTATTACATATTGTTTAGAGTATTTTTATTAAAGGAAAGCAATTCTACATTTTGAGTCACGGTTGAAATTAACCTGAATAATTCATTCTGGTTCCTTTTCCTACCTCTTCTGCTTTTGACTAGAACTCTTCTTTTTGTATTTATTTATTCCATGGACAATTTTCAGAGTAGTACACTAGCTCCTGGGTAGTGTTAATCTATAAGTTCTGGTTTTAGCTAAGATATATATATATATATTTTTTTTCTTTTTGTCTTTTTTACTGACCGGTAACGGGATCGCAACCCTCGGTGTCGCGCCCGAACCGGGGACCGGCAATGGGATCACAACCCTCGGTGGTGCGCCCGCACCGCGCTCAGCCAGTGAGCGGGAACCGGTCTCCACGTGGGATCCGACCCCTCGGCGGGAGCGCTGCCGCGCTCCCAAGCAGCGCACTCTCCAGTGCGCCACCGGGCCAGCCCTAGCTAAGATGTTTTTTGAGAAAAAATATCCAAATTAAATAATGAAAAAGGTAACTAGCCAAATACCATATTTTATACCATTTTTCTGTTTGACTCCCAAATTCCAGAACAGAAGTATGTACATGACAGAGTTTGAGCAGACAGTGGGAGGGAAAGAGTAAAAGGGTTACAAGTACTGGTCTTCAAAATTACATCAAGTACCCGAACTTTGAGATTTATAATTTTTTTCCTCTGTCTCTCATGTGTATTTCTGTTTATGTTGGACAATAACTGCTTGGAATGGGAAACAAGAAGCATGATTTCTACATGACTTGTTTAATGACCTTAAAGCACCGTTCCTTGGGTCTTGGTTTTTCCTTTCTGAAAAAAAAGTAATTGCCTAGGTTTTTGTTTTGTTTTGGCAGCTGACCAGTACAGGGCTCTGAACCCTTGACCTTGGTGCTTGGTGTTATCAGCACTATGCTCTAACTGAGTGTGCTAACTGGCTAGCCCTCGTTGTGAAAAAAAGAATGAGTACTTCCCCATATACAGTATTATTTGGCTTCCAAGTAGTGTTTTAATAACACTGTAGCATAGATTCATTTTTACTTTGTAAAAATTACTTTTAACAGACTTAACTCACAAATACATTTTTTTTTTACAAGTTTGCACTTACGCTTCTTTTTTTTTTTTTTTATTAAGCAATATTAAATCCAGTTTGTTAGGGAGTGAGCTGAATAGAATCTGAAGAAGGATTAGAGTAGATATACTCATTTGATTGGGATTTAGGAGATTTAGGGTATATTTTCACTGCTGCTGTACACTAACATTAAGGTCTTTGGGTATGATGCCACCTGGCTCTGTAGCTGTCTCTGTCTCTGACTCTGCATCAGTAGAGGTATGATATTACCTGTAATGCGAAGGGCTAGACTAGATAAATGGTTATTTCAATCTGTGGAGGGATGTACACCAATGTTAAGGGGAAGGAAAAGTGAGCAGCCTGTGGACACCTTATTTCATTTTCAAACAGTCCTACTTTCAAATGTTTTGTATTATTAGAATTTTTGCTAAGAATTTTTTGGGGAATGGGGGGAGGTTTCCATGGCTAAAAGCTTTACATCTCTTTGCCTGTCAGGGTCAGCAAGCAGGTTAGAAAATCAGCAGGGTATCAGAAGGCAAAAGAACTGTATTCAAATTCTAGCCTCCTATTTTTCATCTTCATCTTGAGCCTCCTATTTTTTATTTGTGTAACGAATATTATAATAGCATTCCTGCAAATGAGGTTTTATGATGGAAGTTATATTACAGGTAATATGTACACCCACAGACATTAATATTCTGCTGTATCACTATATGTAATTCCTGAAAAGAGTTCAAATTGGGAATTTGGGCATCTCCTTTTCTCTGGAATTAGAATAAATTTAACATTTTCATGCGGTGATACAAAGTAATGCTCATTGGCAGGGGAACACTCTAAAAAGCGAATCTTAAATTCCTTTTACACTTTAGAACAATAACTATTGATGTCCCCTCTCCCCTTTTTTTTTAAGAAAGAGAAGGAAACAGTCCAGTCGTCTGTACTTTGACAGGGTTAGATATGATGTCATTGATTATAGTAGTTCTGATTTACCTTGAACTTTGTATCTGTAAGGCTTTAGACTTAATGTCATTGCTTTTTATTTTACTGCCATGTTACTTCTTCCTTTTTCTTAACTATTTAAGTTTCTCTGAGGCAAAAATGGATTCACTGGTACCCTTAAGACACTGCCTTGGAACAGGTTGCAAGAAAGGCTCTTCTGGTTGAATCAGTAATCAATTTAGTACATTTTGTTTTTAAAGAAAATGGACACCCACTGTGCCCTCTAACCCTGCTTACATATTACTGTCTCAGGAAGTCTGGTTTTATACAATATTTCAGAGTTTTGAGACTTTTAGGGTTGATAAGAATTATAGGAACCTTTGAATAGCATTTTTATTAGTTTTCCATGTTATCTCATTAGATCAACATTTTTCTGTTTTTCAAAACCCTCTTTCTTTTGAAAAAATAAAGAGAATGCCTATCATTAATGTCAATTGAGGTTCAAAAAATTGAACTTGAGCACACTAAAAGTGAGTTAAAACAGTATGCATGAATCTCAAAATAATTATGTCAAGTGAAAAAAGCCAGGTATATAAGAGTGTATGCTTTGATTTAATTTAAAATTCTTGAAAATGAAACCTGATCTATAGTGATAGAAAGCACACCAGTGGTTGCCTAGGATACAAGCAAGTGGTGAGAGTTAGGGATTACACAGGGACAGGAGAAAACTTTTGGGGAGTGAAAAATATGTTCATTGTCTTGATTGTGGTGTTGGTTTCACGACTCATTCAATTATTCAGTTTGAATATTTGCAGTTTATTCTATGTGCTATACCTTAGTAGAATAAATTTTTTAAAAATAAAAGAAACCCATGATATAATAAAAATGAAATGTAAATTATTAATCAATGAAATACAAAAGACATTTGTCTATAGAACCAATTATTTTATCTTTTTAAATATTTCAACTTTGGAGGACATTTTTGGTAACTTGTGATGGTTTAATTGGTACTCTCATTTTGTATAATGTCAAATAGAATAATGCGACTGGGATTTGAACCCTGGTTTGACTTTATTTCACTGCGTGGTTTCCCATTATTCTCACCATTTCCCTGATGCGAAATCATTCTTGCAGGCTTATCAGTCTAAAATTACCTTCACCTGAGGAAAAGTACTCATCATGGTCAATTGTGTGGAACATCTTGTAGGTGAACTATAAGAGTATACTGTTGACTAAAAATTGTTAGGAATTCAATATATTTTGGTTTCATATTTATAGAATAAATTAAAACTTTTTAAAAAATAAATTTAAACTTTTCATATAGCTTTCTGAAACAAAGGTCTTCACTGCTTCCTCTGTTCCAGCCGAGAATTGTGTCACAATTGAGCAAAGGTAAATATTTTTTGCTGTCTTTTGTTTGTTATACAAAGCATAACTGAAATTTGTTGCCTCAGGGAAAGTGTTTTCATTTTTGGTTCTTCTTTTTTTTTTTTCCTTTTCATCTAAAACTAACCTTTATTTTACCCCTACCTGGTGCTTACACAGAGCTTCAATCATTTCCTAATTAGTTGTATCCACTGATGAGTTAGAATAGCAATTATTTTTGTCATTTGTTAGCAATTTCAGCAGAGATTGTTAAAGCTATTTAATGGTTGCTCTCTTCACTTTTCTAAACCTATTGTTTTTTTTGACGGAATGAACTCAATACATTATATTCTTTGGTTTCTTTGTATTTTACTATTTATTTAGATCTTCTCAAAGCTAATACAAACTTCTTATTTTGTATGGGTTCTATTTTTTTTAATCTAGATTACAGAAAAGAAAGGAGCTTTGGGGGTAATAGCAACATTCTTAGAAATTGTACTGAACTGAATTACTGAAGAGCTTTTATGTACATCCTAGTTTTCACGATAACCTTAAACATCTTTGACAATGGTTTCAAAATGCAGTGGTCTGGAGAGATGAAAGCCTAGATTATATGACACCTTAGAAGTGAAGGCAGTTTTTAACCTAACGTGTTCAATCTCATGCTAAATGAGAATGTTATAAGACTTCATTATAGAGAAATAAAAATGATTAAAGGTTATGTCTTGGAATATATTGTTTTGTGACTTGCTCAGAATTTCTTGTTAAGTGCATGTACCTTCTTCATTGTATTTATGGCTCAGTAAATTTTTAGGATTATTTTCATCAAAAAGAATTTACTAGACTTTTTAGTGATTCTTTTATTTTCAACTTGGCTATCAGAGATTTACAGTGGCAGTGTGTAAGGAGAGGAACTTGGGCTAGGAACTTTGCTCTGTATCAGGAGTGAGTCTTGAATTATTTGACCTTGCAGAATATTCCTATTTCACCAGCATGGTGAGTATTTCAGGTAGGAGAACAGATTGGGAACTGGACTTTGAAAGGATTTAATGGAGTGCATTACCACGTTAGGTAATCCTGAGCATCTTGCAGGTCCTGCTATACTAGGTAAGGTTGGAGAAAAGTTGGTACAGGAAGTTAGCAGCTCATTCACGTATCAGGTAGTATTTATCTGGAACATGATTTCTTCCTCATGCTTTCAGGTTATGCTTCTCAAATTGGAATATGTGTCTCTCTGGGGGCATATCAAGATTTCTAGTTAACAGAGTATTTGTTAAAGTATTGTACATTTATTTTTTAATATTTATGAGAGAAAATTATGTGATACACAGTTGACCCTTGAACAACATGGATTTGAACTGTGTGTGTCCACTTACGCAGATTTTTTTCAATAAGTATATTGGAAAATTTTTTGGAAAAAAATTTTTTTTTTCCTTTTTGTCTTTTTTCGTGTCTGGCAACGGATCGCAACCCTCAGTGTCGCGCCTGTACCGGACCGGGACTGGCAACGGGATCGCAACCCTCGGTGTCGCGCCCGCACCTCGCTCAGCCAGTGAGCGGGAACCGGTCTGCATGTGGGATCCGAACCCTCGGTGGGTACGACTCTGATTTCCAAAAGTTAATTAAGTTCCTGTGAGAAAGAACTTCAGGAACTGTTAGTGCAGATTGTGAAGATAGGCTGATTGTAGTAGCTGAGAGCATAGCTTATGAGAGAAGGTAGCTGCAGAATGGTGAAATTCTGAGCTGGCAAGGGGAAGCTGAAAGGACTATGAATATAGACCTAAAGTTTGTACTAGCAATAATTGTTTTGGTTCATTCTTTCCTGTATTTTACCTGAAATCTGTTGTTGAAAAACAGAATTTTCTTCCCTACCTGATGCAAATCAGTTGCTTTACCCAGGTAAAATTGGGAATTGAATATGCAGATGTTTCATTTGGAAATTTTTGACAATCAAAGACAAACTGTGTAGCCTAGAAATATCAGAAGAATTAAGAAAAAGGTATGTCATGAATGCATAAAATATTTGTAGGTACTAGTATATTTTATCATTTACTACCATAAAATATACACAAATCTATTATAAAAAATTAAAATTTATCAAAAACCACACAAACACTAATAGACCATACATGGTGCTCTTTGAAGTTGTGAGAAATGTAAACAAATGTAAAGATGCAGTATTAAATCATAACTGCATAAAATTAACTATAGTACATACTGCACTACTGTAATTCTGTAGCCACCCCCTGTTGCTATTGCAGTGAGCACAGGTGTTGCGAGCATCCACTTAAAACATTGCCGAGTGATGCTCACCATCTCTGCATGAGCATCTCTTCTCTCCAGTAAATTGCTTATCACAGTAAAAAAGTGATCTCTTATGGATTTCTCTTCCTTATTATTTTCTTAGTAACATTCTCTTTAGCTTACTTTATTGTAAGAGTACAGTCTGTAATATATATAACATACAGAATATGTGTTAATTGACTTTATGTTATTGGTAAGGCTTCCAGTTAATAGTAGGGTATTAATAGTTTTGGGGGAGTCAAAGCTTATACATGAATTTTCAACTGTGCAGGGGGATGTCCCTAACCCCTTTGTTGTTCAAAGGTTAACTGTATGTGTAAATTTAAATATATTATGGGATAGAATGCAAAAGTTTTAGGAATATTTAAGATAAATGTGAAACTTACTGAATGGTTTAGTATGGCTCTTCATTTCCTAAGAATACAGATTCACTACTCTTTTTTTGTGACCGGCAACGGATCGCAGCCCTCAGTGTCGCGCCCACACCGGACCGGGACCGGCAACGGGATCGCAACCCTCGGTGTTGTGCCCGCACCTCGCTCAGCCAGTGAGCGGGAACCGGTCTGTATGTGGGATCCGAACCCTCGGCGGGAGCGCCGCTGCGCTCCCAAGCGGCGCACTGTAGCAGTGCGCCACCGGGCCGGCCCTGGGGTAAAATATTCTAAACAAAATGATCCAAGCTTCAGAAAATTGTTTACTCCAGGTTTTTAAATCAGTTATCATTGTGTCATTTTTGTGAAAATTTCTCAATATACCTTTTTGTTTCTCTTCTTTGCAAAGCCCTACTTCTGTCTCTGTGGCTTCGTATGCTTTTGGGGCCGGGGATTGATGCCCCTTCTTTTGGCTCCCTTGTACCCCATTTTCCGAAGGTTCTCATTTAGATGATTTTTAGCAGAAATTTACTTCTCAAATTCATTTGTTGGTAAGATTTGCTTATGACTGGTTCCTCATTTGCTTTTTGTCTGCTTAGCATTGATCTGGTAGCCTTGCTCCAGAAGCCTGTTCCTCCTAGTCAAGCCTCAGAAGTCAACTCCTTTGAAACTTCCCAACAGCAGGGCTTTGGTCAAGCTCTTGTCTTCACAAATTCTCAGCACAACAATCAGATGGCAACAGGGACTGGCAGCTCCACCGCTGTCAACTCCTGTTCTCCTCAGAGTCTGGTAAACTACTTTTGTTTCATTATGGGATTTTACGGAATGTACCCATTATCAAATGTATGCTAGAATATGACACATGCTTTACAATTATTTACTAAATATAAAAATTTCTACAGTAGATCTTAGTCCAGAAAACAATGATGTGATAAATTCCAAGCACATATCTGATGATTCCATGTGGAATTTAACTACCTGAGTTTCCTGGATGAAGACTAAAATATTTCTTTATGATAAGTTGAATTCTTTTCAACTAATGGTCACTCAGTCAGATTTGAAAGCATCTTTCTAATTAATGATTTTTATCTTGTTTCAAAGTCTGTTTCTATACTTAATATGTTAAGTTTTTCACATGTCTTCCAATTTACTTAAATGCAAATGTTTGTCAGTACTGGCTTGCTATAAAATCATGCAAAAATAGTTCTTTCCATGTCTGCCTAGGTGCTTATATTTTTTACATTTTTCTTTGTTATTTCATTAAATAAAGTTACTTTTTCTTAAAATGTCAGAAGATATAATAGAGGCTCTTATAGTTTGGATGTGTTTTTACTGAAACAGTGTCATGTAGTGCTGCATGTACGACTCTGATTTCCAAAAGTTAATTAAGTTCCTGTGAGAAAGAACTTCAGGAACTGTTAGTGCAGATTGTGAAGATAGGCTGATTGTAGTAGCTGAGAGCATAGCTTATGAGAGAAGGTAGCTGCAGAATGGTGAAATTCTGAGCTGGCAAGGGGAAGCTGAAAGGACTATGAATATAGACCTAAAGTTTGTACTAGCAATAATTGTTTTGGTTCATTCTTTCCTGTATTTTACCTGAAATCTGTTGTTGAAAAACAGAATTTTCTTCCCTACCTGATGCAAATCAGTTGCTTTACCCAGGTAAAATTGGGAATTGAATATGCAGATGTTTCATTGCTGTGTTCAACTCCCCATAGTCACATCACTTTGTGGGCTTGGGGACTTGGCATTATTAGTGTCATTGGTATACAAGCATACTTCAAAAAAGTTTGTGGAAAGATTTACATTACCCTTTAATTCTATTGTTCCACAAACTTTTTTTTTTTTCCTTTTTGTCTTTTTCCGTGTCCGGCAATGGATCGCAACCCTCAGTGTCGCCCCCGTACCGGACCGGGACCGGCAACGGGATCGCAACCCTCGGCGTTGCTCCCGTGCCTCGCTCAGCCAGTGAGCGGGAACCGGTCTGCATGTGGGATCCAAACCCTCGGCGGGAGCGCCGCCGCGCTTCCCAAGCGGCGCACTATAGCAGTGCGCCACCGGGCCGGCCCTGTTCCACAAACTTTGAAGTTCCCTTGTATGAGATGGAGTCAGTGCTTTAAGTGGGACAGCCCAAGGCATGAGGCCATCTCTATTTTGAGAAGACCTAATAAAACTCTTGATTTTTTTTATTGAACCACCAATGTCTTCTCCTCTACCTTTCCGTCTGCTGCTGGTGTAATGATGTAGCGTCCATACTGACTTGCTGGAGTTCTTGGCCTGGCCACTGAATTCATAGGTAGGGCTTGAGTTTTTACATGACCTTCAAGTATGTTGCTTTATGTCATGACCAACACCTTGAGAAACTGGGGTAAGACTTGTTTGTTTAGCATTTTCCTGGAGCAGTGGTTCTTAACCCTACTGCTCTTTATAATCATTGCGGAACTTAACAGCATGAGCAAAGAATCTGGAGCACTGATAAGGAACATTATTAGCACAACTGTTCCAATAGGAGCAGATTCTGCTATTGCTGTGCCACAACTGCCCATAGCATAACATGAGCTTGCAATGGAGAATTTTGGATTTCCTCACAACAACTGGGACTCTCCCTGTCTTTGAATAATATTGATAACAGAAATAATTACTTCAACTTACTTTACCTAACCTCTTGTGGGACTGCAAATAATTTCTGTTTTTGACCTTAGATGGATTTGAAATGTTATTTTTGATGAAGAGCTTATCTTTCAGAATGGTCTCAATATGTTAAAATGCAGTTGATCTTCCACTGTATTTTCTAGTCAGAGGCTTTCACTCTCTTTGGATCTTGGTGTATGATCTGACAGGACAGATGGAGAGGATTATCATTGTTTTTTGTGTACCTATGGAGTATATTTGGTGCTCCTGGTCATATAAATATCTTGATATGAACATAGCCCCACTTCCACGTATTTGCCCTTCCTCAAATATCTGTGTATTTCAGTGTGTGATTTTGGAAAATTAATAGCTTAAGTTCTGTGACCTGTATCTGATCTTGCAGGATGATCTTATGGCTGATCTCTTTTGTGACCAAACCTATTCTAGTTATTAAAGATGATTACAGTGGTTCACACATTAAGACAATATTATATTTTTGTCAAGCATGTCTTTGTCATTTACTTCATGATATTCCTGTTTGGTTTAAAAAAAGTGATATTTAATTGTGAACTTCAGGCATGGCTTTTTAAAAAAATTAATTTCTTAAAATTAATGGCAAATATTTTCCTCCCCTTTACCTCTTACATCAGAATCTGGAAGGATTGCTGGATTTATTTGGTCAGTTTTTATTGTATAAGTAATATTTTCATGTAGTATTTTCTAAGGTGAGTCTTACTAATTGTTCTAGGTTACAGTTTTTGAAATACTTGTGAAAATACTTGGTGCGTTTTAACGTGTGGGGTAGAAATTTGGTATTGCTGAGGATTTGTACTTTTATTTCCCTGTAAAGTCATCCGTTCTCGGCTCAGGATTTGGAGAACTTGCACCATCAAAAATGGCAAACATCACCAGCTCCCAGATTTTGGACCAGTTGAAAACTTCGAGTTTGGGCCAGTTTACCACCACCCCAAGTTCACAGCAGAATAGTACAAATCCTCCCACAACTACTACTTCTTGGGATCTCAAGCCCTCAGCATCCCAGTCCTCAGTCTTCAGTCATTTTGGTAAGTATGCATTTTCTATGTTGGTTTGTTCCTACTGAGGACATGCTAAACATCAGCAGAGTATGTTGACTTGTGAACACTAATATGGAACTTGTGCAGAGATGTTTCTTTTTAGCAGAACTCTTTAGAGGTACTGAATTAAGTCATTCTTCTTTTTGTTGTATAATACCTGAATTTATTTGTTGCTTTTGTTGTTGTTAGTAGTAGTAGTAGCAGCAGCAGCAGTAATAGTAGTAGTAGTAGAAGATGATGCTTTGGGGCCGGCCTGGTGGCTCACTCGGGAGAGTGTGGTGCTGAGAAGATGATGCTTTGACGACGTGCAAAAGCATGGTAAAAGCATGCAAATATGAGTATACAGCACTTTGAATAAATGCATAGACAGAATTTTCTGAGCTCTGTTAGAATAGGGTGGTGACAGGGCCGTCCCGGTGGCGCACTGGAGAATGCGCCGCTTGGGAGCGCGGCGGCTCTCCCACCGAGGGTTCGGATCCCATGTGGAGACCGGTTCCCGCTCACTGGCTGAGCACAGTGCGGGCGCGACACCGAGGGTTGTGATCCCGTTACTGGTCAGTAAAAAAGACAAAAAGGAAAAAAAAAAAAAAGAATAGGGTGGTGACAGAAGGTGGAATGTGGATAGCATTTTAAATCATCCCCTCTGTGATGTTTTCTCATTCTAACATTTGTACGTATCTACCATGATTTGGTCAAACTTTACTTTCTGTGGTTTGTATTATAAAGGCACCATGTGTAAGCTGGATGTGTTCTGGAATAAACTCCCATAGAAATTGTGACATTAAACCACCATTCCCCACCAATGCTCACATGCTACACTGTATTAACAAATAGCAGGGGGTTATTTTAATCATAGAGTTCACTGTGTGGGTTGGTTTATGTTGAGGGCATATTGAGAAACAGAGATGCACATTTCTCTGCTCAATGAAATGGCTTACTGTGTTGGAAATACCTGAGACTAATCCTAGGTTTGAAGTGATGTCTACCAAGGAAATTCATTAGTGACTTGGTGCCCAAGGTTATTATTGGGGACCGGATATGTAGGTAACCTCTGCCTAGCACATAACAAAATTACACATTCCTAGAAGGAAAAATATGCACATATTGAGCATATACCACATTGTTTGTGCAGACATTCTAGGCACAGTTAGCCACTCTAATGGGTTAGTGTGTTGGCACCTTTTGCCTAGCACATACCAACATTCCAAGTTCCCAGATGCCAGCTAGAGGCCATTCTTCAAGCAGGCCTTTTTGATAGCATATGTAGGTCTTCTATGTTAATTTTTTCCCAAACCTTTACTAATGAGTAATAAGAGTTTTTAGATGTAAGCATGCTATTCCCATATTCTTTATAAAGCCTATCTTTTTGGTACATGCCTCTAATATCAAGTTCAAAAAAGGATTCATCTAAACTGGATCTGCCACCTGTTTTTTGTAGATTAAGTTTTTTTTTTTTCCTTTTTGTCTTTTTTCGTGACCGGCAACGGATCGCAACCCTCGGTGTTGCGCCTGTACCGGGCCGGGACCGGCAACGGGATCGCAACCCTCGGTGTTGCGCCCGCACCTCGCTCAGCCAGTGAGCGGCCGGTCTGTATGTGGGATCCGAACCCTCGGCGGGAGCGCCACCGCGCTCCCAAGTGGCGCACTGTAGCAGTGCGCCACCGGGCCGGCCCTGTAGATTAAGTTTTATTTGCGCCAAAGTCTGGCTACTTTCAATCTACAAACGCACAGTTGAGTAGTTGGTGACAGATGGCCTTGAAAGGCAAAAATGTATACTGTCTGGCCCTTTACAGAGAAGGATTGCCATTCTCTGTCCTGTATGATAGCAGTGGCATTTTAAATCAGTGGCGAAAAAATGGTTTATTGCAATTGGATATCTAATTGGAAAATGAAGTTGCATCCTTATAAAAAAAAAAAAAAAGTAGGTCAAGTATTTAAATATAAATGGGTCAAATATTTAAATATAAATTGTCAATCTACAACAGTTGTAGGAAAAACATAAGGGGATTTATATATATTCTGTGTGAGGGAGACCTTTCTAGGCATGACAGAAAACATCATAACCAAATTAAAAGGCACATAAACTATGAAAAAAATATTTGAAAATATCATAAACAAAGGGTTAGTTTCCTTAGTGTAAAAGGATTAACTGAAAATAAAGGAGACCAACAACCAGGTAAACAAATGGCCACAGAGTCTATAGGAAAAGAACACTAAAGTATATGTATGAAATGATGCTTAAGTGCATTTATATCATTTTAGTTTGCATTTCCTTTAAACCATTTTCCATCAATCAAACCAGGAAAGATAAAAGTTTGGTATTACAGTATGTTAAAAAGGATATATGTATTCTATCTATAGATAGCAATTTCAAAGTTTGTCAAAATTTAAAGTATATTTGCCCCGTGAACCAGCAACTCTTTCTATCAGTTGATCCTGCAGGTATACTTGCACTTGAGCAAAATGTCTTACGTACAAATATATTCATTACCGCATTATTTTACATAGCAAGAGATTAGAAAACATAAAAGTTCATTAATATAGTACTAGTTTAAAATAATCAATGCTATGTATACTGGATTTCTATGTTGTAATAAAAGTGAATGAGGTAGCTCTTTGTACATTAATGTGGAACAGTCTCTGAAAATTAAATGGTTTGTAAGAAAGTAAGGTATGTAGTGTGTTTGGGTGTTATATATAAATGTCTCTATGTAAATATTTTGATACAGTAGCTCTGAAGATGTTAAAGAAACTTGGTTCTGTGTTTGCCTTTGTGGAGGAGTAAGGGCACAGTGGTGGAGGGGAGATTTATATTCATCATGCACATTCTTGTACTTTTTTGGATTTTGTAGCATCACATAGATGGTACAAAATTCATAAAACAACAAAAATATAATTCTCTGTTAGCTTATGGCTTGTGGTGTGTGTAGTACCTCAGTATTCTTGCTAGTTCCCTATCCCACATGCTTTAGCATAAAATGTTATTTCCACTCTGCATAGGAAATAAGATACAAACCTATTGAGGCATCCTTTTCCATTTATCATGTACCAGATATTATACATCTCTCTCTCTCTCTCACACACACACACACACACACACGGGTAGTTCAGAAAGTTCATGGAAAAACAGATTCATCTCAAAGATCATTTGAAGGGCCGGTCCGGTGGCGCACTGGATAAGTGCGCCGCTTGGGAAGCGCGGCGGCACTCCCGCCCGAGGGTTCGGATCCCCCACACAGACCGGTTCCCGCTCACTGGCTGAGCGAGGCACGGGAGCAACACCAAGGGTTGCGATCCCGTTGCCGGTCCCCGGTCCGGTATGGGGGCAACACTGAGGGTTGCGATCCGTTGCCAGACACGGAAAAAGACAAAAGACAAAAAAAAAAAAAAAGATCATTTGAAGGGCCGGTCCGGTGGCGCACTGGATAAGTGCGCCGCTTGGGAAGCGCGGCGGCACTCCCGCCCGAGGGTTCGGATCCCCCACACAGACCGGTTCCCGCTCACTGGCTGAGCGAGGCACGGGAGCAACACCAAGGGTTGCGATCCCGTTGCCGGTCCCCGGTCCGGTATGGGGGCAACACTGAGGGTTGCGATCCGTTGCCAGACACGGAAAAAGACAAAAGACAAAAAAAAAAAAAAAAAAGATCATTTGAAGAAACTGGTGTCGATGGAACTCATCATGATCAATGAGGGTAGAAGAGGGGGTTCAAAGCCCTGTGCCTAAATAAAATCGTTGCTTACTTTTCTTTTTCTTTACATTTACACAGATTTCAAATCTCAGCCTGAGCCATCCCCAGTTCTTAGCCAGTTGAGCCAGCGACAGCAGCACCAGACGCAGGCAGTCCCTGTTCCTCCTCCTGGTTTGGAGTCTTGTCTTTCCCAGGCAAAACTTCAAGAATCAGTGCCTGGAGACAGTACTTCCACTGTGAACAAACTTTTGCAGCTTCCCAACGTGACTGTCAAAAACATCACTGTGCCTGCCCACCAAACACAGCCCAAACACATAAAACTCCCTAAGCGACGGATACCTCCAGTTTCTAAGGTCAGCATTGCATCATGAAGTCACAGTCCCAAAGGTGGATTAATTTTAACATCTAGCTCAAGTAGAGGGATATTAAGTCTCAGAAACTGTGATGCAGTGTTTGTCAAACATATGCTTTGTGAGGATACAGCCCTTTCTGAGTGTCTGGGTTAATATTAGAGGGAATGGGTTTGTGCTGAGAGCCAGAGACCCTTAATTCAAATACAGACTCAAAGATCTGGCTCAAACAATCTGTTGTTCTTGTATATTTTGCTGTATCCCACAGTTGGAAGATGTGTGCTTTCTTGACCAGGTAATGCTTTCATCCTTTGTGCGTTCCTAAAACCATTAGTAAGCTCAGTGCCCACGCTCCTCCCTCACCCATTCACCACCACAACTCCACCCCCACCCCTCTAAGAAGCAGTTAGTGGCATTAACACTGACCATTCCCCTGTTAATATTTCTTTGCTCTTTTTCTTTCACTCTCTTTTTTAAAAGTCCTATTCCTTTTTCCTTTCTTCTGTCTCTTACTCCTCATTCCAGCCAGTATTGCCCAGGGAACTCAGTTGCTTATTTGGCTCTGTTGTAAACCTTTGGGACTTGGCTTTACTTTTTCAGATTCCAGCTTCTGCAGTGGAAATGCCTGCTTCAGCAGATTTCACAGGATTAAATGTTCAGTTTGGGGCCCTGGAGTTTGGTTCAGAACCCTCTCTCTCCGAATTTGGATCAGTTCCAAGCAGTGAAAATAGTAATCAGATCCCCATCAGCTTGTATTCGAAGTCTTTAAGGTACACAACTTCTCTCTTCCCTGTTTTTGACTGAATTTAGTCCTTTGTTTGCAAAACAAAAAAATATATAGCCTAAAAAATCATGTGGTGAGACAATACATCCTGTGGTAATGGGTTTGTGCAGCTATCACCAATGATTAATTCCAGAACTTTTTTCCCATCACCCCCAAAAGAAACCCCTTACCTGTAGCAGACACTTCCAATAGCAGACACTTCCAATTTCTTCCTCTCCCTGTCCCTTGGCAACCAGTAATCAGCCTCTGGATTTGCTTGTTGTGGACATTTCATATAACTAGAGTCATGCAACAGGTAGACTTTTGTGTCTGACTTCTTGCACTTAGTGTGAGGTTCTCTGCCCCGTTCCCCTTCCTCCTCTGCCCCTCAGCATAAGGTAGTCAAGGTTCATGCAGGTTCTTTGTAGCCAGATATTTCATTGTGTAGATATACCACATTTTGGTTTTTCATTCATTCATTAGTTGGTGGACATTTGGATTTTTTTTCCTTTTTCTTTAGTGAATCATGCTGTTATGGCCACTTGGTTTCGTTTTGTGTGCTTTCAGATTTTTGTATATATACCTAGGAGCAGAATTTATGGTAAATTTATGGTTATATGCCAACTTGTATTTAACCATTTGAGGAACTACCAAACTTTCTTCACAGTGGCTAAAACATTTTACATTCCTGCCAGTAATTTAGGAGGGATCCAACTTCTACATGCCTTTGGAATACTGATTTTCTTTCAGTGGAATATTATACAAATAGAAAATCTCAGATTTGAGTTTTATTTTATTAGTTTTCCACATTCCAGAGGCAAAACCTGATAATTTAGTTCCCTTTTTATTTATTTATTTTGGCAGCTGGCCAGTAACAGGGATGGAAAGCCCTTTTTAAAGATTCTTTAGGGCCGAGCCCGTGGCGCACTTGGGAGAGTGCGGCGCTGGGAGCGCAGCGGCGCTGGGAGCGCAGAGGCGCTTCTGCAGCGGGTTTGGATCCTATATAGGGATGACCGGTGCGCTCACAACGCTCACTGGCTGAGCGCGGTGCGGCTGGTCTCAAAAAAGGACAAAAAAAAAAAGATTCTTTAAAGAATCTCTATGATTCTTAAAGATATCCTTCTGTCTGTCAGTTGAATTAGGGGCATCTCATTTGGGAGGGGGTGCGCAGGGGGGGTTGTTCATCTTTAATACAGTTAAAGAATGTAGTAGTTACATGTTTATTTAATTTAGAATATGATAATGAATTGAAGTCCTATTTTATGAAGCTATCTAAAGTGACATAAGGTTACATCTAATACCTTTTACTCTTTTTAGTGATCCTTTGAATACATCCTTACCAATGACCAGTGCAGTACCAAACTCCACCTATACAACTTCAGTCATTACCTCCTCCAGTCTAACTAGCTCATCTGTGAGCTCCACTAGTCTAGTAACAACGTCTTCCTCCCATGACCAGAGTTCTGTGCATGACAGGATTGTATACCAAAGCTCTGTGAGTCCATCGGAGTCAGCTCCAGGAACCATCACGGTAAATGGGGTTTTAGGTTTCTTCTGTTAGGATATTCTATTTGGAAGTTAGCGTTTAGTTTGGTATATTATTCATTTTGGATAAGATTTTTAGAAATCTGTTTTGTTTTTTGGCGGCTGCCTGATACAGGGATTGAACCCTGGACTTTGGTGTTATCAGCACCATGGTGTAACTGAACTAACCAGCTAGCCCTATTTTAGAAATCGACTTACCCTTTTGAGTAGAATTTTTGTAGTTTGTTGAATTTGGTTATAGTGGGCATCTCTAGCACTCATGCAGTCGAGTGTGTGAATAGACCCACAGGTACTCACACTTTGTGGAGGAAACCAAGCCTCTATATAGTGTATGCATTTTGGATGTGGTACTGGGTTCTCCTGCATATTCTGACCCTGGCCACATCTCTGAATATTTCATGCACTCCTCTCTGTCTTACTGACTCCTTTTCTTTGACTGCACATGGTTCTGCATCATTATCAGTTGTATTGTGTTAAAATTACTCTTTACCCAGCTTTCAATAATAATACTAGACTATAAATAAAGAAACGAGATTTCTTTATTATACTTTTAAAGTCTTGCTCTTCTATAGGCTTGCTAGCTGCCTATCTAAATGTCATTGCCAGTTGTAGGTTCTCTCTTAAGTTGAGATGTACAAGTATCTCCTGAGAGTCTTAGAAGGAAACCTTTTTTAAAAAGGAAAATAAAATGTACACAAATTTCTGACTAAAATTCAAACCCTTGCTTCACAAGAAGCCCTCCCATCATGTTACACAAGCACTCACACACAACTTTGCAAATTTGTGTAGACTCTGCCCAGAAAGGAATAGATAACGCTTCCAGTTTAGAAGAAAAGTCTTCATAGAGCCAAGGAAATAATTACATTGTGGTGGTCCTTATATTTAGCCTGCTCGTGTGCATCTGATGTCTTATTTTTGTTTGAGTTAAAGCATCTTGTCTTAATAAAGCACACAAATGGCTGAGAGCATTAAGAAGACATAGAAAAGCCAATAATGTTTTTTAAGGTATCTTTTCTGAGGTTATGCTACTTTACCTCTAATGATAGACCAAAATCACAGGTTAGATCAGAATCCTGGAACATGTTAGCAGAGTTAGATGGAGGTTTCCTTTTTTTTGTCCTTTCTACCATTCCTTTCACCTAAACATTCAAAAAAGTATCTGTGTGCCCTGGTCATCTGTTCATTTTCGACGCCCCCCCCCCCCCCCCCCCCCCCC